TTTAAACGATTAGTTGAAGTGCTTAAGGCTTCTTTAAGAGCAGCAAGGGAGCGCTTCTTCAAAAGACACACAATATTAAATACATTGAAGTGTGAAATCAAGAAGGGAGCGCTTACTTCACAGTAAGGCCTGTAGCGCAAGCCCCTCTTTATTTTCAGTCGGTATATGGTAGATTTAAACGGAAAAGTTATAAAAGTGTAAAAGTACTTTGAGTAAAGGAAATTTGACAAAACAAAATGGAATCTACGTCTGAAGGCAAGTAAAATACCCAAAAACTTTTGTGAATATCACCACTGTAACAGAAATGTTTAAAAAGTAGAAATTTAATTTTTCTTTTTTTTTTGAGTCGTTAAATGAAACAGCAAAAACACGCTGTCGGATGCTGCCCTTAGACCTGTTGTAGGTCACTTAGAAAAGTTTTAGCATATGAATAAAACAAAATTCAGCTGCTCAAATCTGTCACTGAAATTTTAATGTATTTTTGATGTGTATACGTCTTTGGTTTCGGTTTGCAAAGCTGTAACGCATAGCCCAGCAGAAAATTTCGAAGGGTATTCCAGCAGAATTTATTTTCATTAGAAGCACCCTGTTTTTACTTGCTAATGCAAATGGCTGGATACAATTGGGCATATGCAGAGTAGGAGGAAATGCGGTACAATTGATTTTACTTCCGATTATGCAAACTCCGCGCATGCATACGGCACGGCTTTGTACCTATATGTACAGTGACCACATTTATGCGAGCCGAATACGGGACACAAAATAATTTTGCTACTTTTTTTACATAAAAGCTAACAGATCTTAACATCTTCTTAAAAGATCTTAGATGCATGTATTAGCCCTGAAACAGCATCCTTATAGTAACATCACATATTTGTATGAAGTCTTTCTGGAGAATTTTACACCACAAAATTTATTACAAAAGTTTCGTTAAATTTTAGTACGATAAAGTGCAAGTTTTAAGTAGCTAGGACTTACCGTTAATTTTTGGCAATTTTTTTTTGTCGACGGTGCTACGTATTTTTTTCATACAAAGTTAGTATGTTCGATAATTTGTCGATAGGGAAGCAAATGAGCAGCACGTTGCAGTTGCATTTTATTATACTCAATTTTAATGAGCTACAAAACTGCAACAAACTTTTTTTGATGTGTATACATCTTTGGTTTCGGTAGGGGTAAAATTTGCAAAGCTGTAACGCATAGCCCAGCAGAAAATTTCGAAGGGTATTCCAGCAGAATTTTTTTTCATTAGAAGCACCCTGTTTTTACTTGCTATTGCAAATGGCTGGATACATTTGGGCATATGCAGAGTAGGAGGAAATGCGGTACAATTGATTATTACTTCCGATTATGCAAACTCCGCGCATGCATACGGCACGGCTTTGTACCTATATGTACAGTGACCACATTTATGCGAGCCGAATACGGGACACAAAATAATTTCGCTACTTTTTTTACATAAAAGCTAACAGATCTTAACATCTTCTTAAAAGATCTTAGATGCATGTATTAGCCCTGAAACAGCATCCTTATAGTAACATCACATATGTGTATGAAGTCTTTCTGGAGAATTTTATACCACAAAATTTATTACAAAAGTTTCGTTAAATTTTAGTACGATAAAGTGCAAGTTTTAAGTAGCTAGGACTTACCGTTAATTTTTGCAATTTTTTTTGTCGACGGTGCTACGTATTTTTTTCATACAAAGTTAGTATGTTCGATAATTTGTCGATAGGGAAGCAAATGAGCAGCACGTTGCAGTTGCACTTTATTATACTCAATTTTAATGAGCTACAAAACTGCAACAAATTTTTTTTTCTAAAGGTTCTGATTAAACAGTTTGAAAATTTGGTGAAAATTTGCGGAATCAATTGTCATAGTTTTTGCACAAAGTCGGAAATTTTGATTTATATGGTTTTTGTTAGGAAAAGGGCCTTACTTAAAAATAATAATAAATATTAAATAAACAAAGGAAAATAGCCGAACCTTGCTAAAATTTAGAATCCTAATTTTTATTTTGATTACTGTATATGTTCCTCGATTCGACGCACAGGCATTCAGATTAAAAAATAATAACTCTTTATGGAGAAAGTTACGATCATGTTCCAACATCATTTAAAACTGGTTCATAGACATGCTATTTTAATGAGATTTGAAGGCGTCGAAATACCGAACCCTGAATACGGGACAAGTACGGGGCATTAAAATAAACATTTGGCGTCCCCTATAAAATAAATTAATTGCCAGGACAATTGGTCAAAAAAGAGGACTGTAGCATATGAGAGACGTTACGAGCATGGATCGGAAACCCGGCCTTTCCGACCATGCCAAACAGCTCGTTCGCAGTACGGAGCGGAAACTAGAGCTTTCCACCCATTTCACAGCAACATAATTATGAAAAGAACATGGATCGAAAACTCGGCCTTTCCGACCATGGTAAACGCCTTTATTGACTAGGCGTTTCCGCCTGCTGAACCTAAAGATAGACTGGATACCAGGCCTCGCCAGCTATCCAACCCGAGGCTATAATATACGTATAATAATTAATTAATTGTACAATAAATTAATATGTATAAATGTATAAAGTATGTATTTGAAAATAAGTAAAAATTAGTAAAGAAAATATGAAAAATGTTAATGTATAGTATTATTATGGTATTATATATTAGTATTATTATAGTATTAAATGGCAAAAATGGCAAATGACAAAGTCGGGCATTAAAAATAATTGTGTCATTACATTAAAAAAATAGTCATTAAGTTCATTTCCACATGGCATTTTTTTAAATGGCATACATTTTTTGTTATTTCAATGCCTAGTGGAAATTCGGCATTAGTAGACGAGCAATCAATTAAATTAAATCAGTTAATAATGTAATTTACAAGATTTTTTATAGGTCTTAAAGACTGTCAATAAATAAATAAATAAATAAATTAGTGACCCGGAAAACCCCATAGTACGAAATTTCGAATCATTTCTTCAAAGCACTTTTGAATTTCGGCCGCACTGTGCAGCGCATAAATGCACTCCTTGAACACTTCGAAGGCGGTATATCGGAAGGAATCGATTACAACCCAGATTACTTTTCTATAAGCATGACCGCTTTGTAATTAGCGTCCTTTACATGCTTGTTTTGTTTGTAATCGGAGAGTATGATGTGACCAAATACTTTTCGGGCGTTCATTACAATACGTATTCGTTTCTAAATTGGGTCAGCGGTGTTTTAATCAATTATTTGTATGAATTACGCGATGAATGTTGTGGACGGACCCCATTTAGCAGTGCGCCGCTGGGCAACTTATGTAAGTGGTTAAGAGAAGCGGACGTAATCCAAATCCCTTGCACCGTGCAGGAGAGCTTTGCAAATAAGCGCAACTTTCAAGGCATTATATGTAATGGAATTTGATATTTATAAACTAAGTATTTGTTACTTGAAATATTTCCATGTAATTCTTCAATAAATAAATTAATAAGTGTTTATTACACAGGCCGACAAAATAAGACCGATCTCCTTACCCAGAAACGAGACTATAGTTTACCGAAGGTTTTCGGTGCGCTGAATTCAAATCTGGCCACAGAATTGCTCTATCACATCAGAATTTTGAGATATTCTAACCTATACGTGCAAAAATCACGGTTTTTGGGCACATTTGAGCTCCTGTAACTCGATGAAAAAATTTTTTTCAGAAAGATCATCTCGTTATTTAAAAGTACTACTCCTCCCCTCCAAAATTCATTTTAAAGCTTTAAAAAATCTTTTTTTGTCACCGAGAAGTCGTCTGTTGAATTTACTGAGTTTAGTTTTCTGCGGCTATGCACGTCATACAGATGCATCGGATTGACATCAACACACTTTAATTTTGTGAACTTAAGTCTAGATAACAAAATTAATTTTTCTAACATCACTTCACTTTTAGGGTGTCTAATGGGGGAGTGAAGTGAATCTATAACCTATCTGCCCGTCAAGGCTTCGTGGCCCCTGTTATCGCTAACGAGGCTCTGTCGACCTGTGCGCGGCGGTATATCCTCGCGCATGGCTGAGCTTCCGTGGTTGGACTGGACTCGGACTGCTTCGCAGCCCCGCATAACGATTTCTCTAGAAGCTGCAGGGATGAGGAGGAGTTAGAATCCGTCCAGCACTTCCTTTGCGAGTGTCCAGCACTACGAGGAAAACGCCTTAAGTTTCATGGGGACCATTTCTTCGAGTATCTGGATATCTTGGGGAAAGATCCTCTGGAAGGACTGCTGGGATTCGCCAGAAAATCAAAATGGTTCGAAGATAGTTAGGGATAGGCTTGGGGTAACCCCCATGGGTATCACAATGGACTTTCGCAGCCTCCGAGTGAACTCTTTGAAGAGCTACCAGTTTAACCTAACCCAACCTAGGGTGTGAATCAATTCCCAGATGACTTAATGTCAATTGACATAAACTTACTTTTGGACTTTGTGCTAATATTATTGACATCAATTTCGGTACAAAAGTGAATTTATGTCAACTGACACAAATTCCAATGACATTATTGCAGGTCACCGACCTTACCACTTCTTTAATGGAATAAATATCCTACTAATAATATTGTTAATTACTACGTAGTTCAAACCTTTTTCGAACGTATTATCCCATGTTTCCGGATCAATCATTATCAGTAATTTCTGTACATCTTCATCTGTTAGTACACCAACTAATAGTAAACGATCTGTAAGCTTAATAAGAGGACTGTAAAGAACAGATAAATATTTTAATACTTTTAGCTTAAAATTCTCGGATTCCAAGTACTTACAGAAATAAGTTTTCGTTAGTCCACCCAATAGGATCTCGATTGTGCACCTGATTTACTTCAACCGCTTCCTTTAATGCCTCCATTACGAATTCCCTTACTATTTCCAGCGGAAATTTCGGAGAGTAAAGCTGATCGATGTTGGGTATCGGTTCACTGGAAACACTTGGTAAACTAGATGTTTGGATACATACAGGGGGTCTTCATAATCGGTTTATGCGAATGTGGTTATGTAAGTTTTTTATTGTATGTAATTCATGTTGCGCGTGAGGGGAAAGAGGAATGCGAGTTTACGCATTGATTCATTTATACATATGTATGGATGTATACATGTGCAAGAGATCGTTGTGCATAGGTACATGAAAAAAGGAGAAAATACAATATATTTTTTGTCTGAGGGAAATGTTACGTATACTACTATAACTAAAGATTATGAGCTATGTATCCATAGCTTGTCACTTATTCGCTAAAAGACTGTACCAACTCGAAAATGGAAAATTTGGAAGATTGTGGAGAATTACTCGTTATATCATGTTTCATTGTGTGTAGTTTCTGCGTGAGAAGAAAAAAATTATCTCCATTATCTGTACTTTATAAGTAAATTGAAAAAATTAAATGCGACTCCCGAAAATTTCCATTTTTGAGCTTTGCGAATCTTGCAGTAAATGAGAGGTATGTACTATGTATGAAGTGGACCCAGCTCTACAAAAACATGAATCGACCTGATATGTAATACTTTGTAACTAATATTGGAGTATACGCAATGATTCCTGCATTATAATACTTTAGCTGAATTCGACGGTATGCATGTCTTATTTTTTATTTTGGTCTGACTAATAAACAAACATAAACTCGCTCCATTGTATCTGCGTACATTCTGTAATTTTTTTTTATATTTTT